ATATATGTACATATGCATACAAACAAATGTATGTATGTATGTACAGATTTATGGAATTACTTACATATGTATATGTACATATATTTGTATGTATGCATATACATATATATATATATATATACATACATACATATTATGTACACTCGAGTGTTACTATATATATATATGAAGTTGTCTAATTCCTAGTCCATTTGACGCACTCGCTTTTAAAGGAATTAAGTCGAATATCAAGAATCGATGATCGACTTAAAGGTTCCTTTAAAAGAAGTCGTCAAAGGTTTTTGATTATGTTTGGTATTGAAGCATCGGTGCCGATAAGTTCGGATGATGCGAGCTATTCATGCGCAATGCGGATAGACTTTTGTTATACCACTCGTCCTCCGGTGACATGCCTGAAAGCAGAAAGAGGAAAATATAGCATTGTTAGTTGGATTGTATAAAAGTTGGGTTAGAATGAAAAGCTGTATGGCTTGATATATGAATTGTCGGTGAATTTATTCGCATGAAATATGAAGTGTCAGGTGAGGGTATGATAAATAAGGTTAAGTTGAAGGTCAGCTTATTTGATTATTATTTTTTGTTATCATAATTAACAAGTTTAATGACAAATCATTGCATAAAACTGAGATTACATTGCCATTAAAACACAATCGGATTGAAGATTAGGCCAAGTGTTGATTTAATCAACAAGTTGTAATCCTAATATGTAGATTTATGCATTAACTGTGACTATTCAAGATTTCCGCTACATAAATGCAAAAATCAATGAGGTTAGGTTGAATTAGGCTAGAGGTTATGATGAATCAGCTGCACATATTTCGATGATTATTCAAGATTTCCGCTACGTAAATGGAAAATGGGCCGAGACGAACTCACCCAGACACGCACACACACACACACACACACACACACACACACACACACACACAGACACAGGATGCTATGCCTAACTGGACTTGAGAAACTTGTCTTGACTTTATTTCGCTTTTTTCGTTTATTTTCGTTTTCTTCCTTGGCCGGAAATTCATTTGCAGATTTGTCGTCGGCTTGACTTTTGCCTTGCAGCCATCTCACTCTCTATCTCTCTCTCTGTCTCCCATTCTGCTTCGTTTTCTTCCTCTCTCTTAGTTCCTCTCTTTTAGTTAATAATATCCGGTTAAGTAGTTCCCCCGCTAGCCCCCCGGGCCATATACGTCCCTCTGTCTGGCGGCTTTATGCCTCTATATCTAATGTCACTCGCATTTACAGGTTTGTTTAGTTGCGCTGCTTATCTTTCAATTTTCTGTTTACGGCT